GATATCTTTGGACAAGAGGAGCAAACCCTGTGATTTAACAACTTCTTTGCAGTCTTACTATAAAGTGATGCTATCGGACTACAGTATTTGTCTGCTCTATAAATATTTGTCAGTTCTTAAATCATCATTTGACTAGTGGCTCTAGAGGTTACACTGGTGATGTGGACACTTATAGATCACCTTGAGATATCAGAACAGCTCAACAACTGTGCAATTCATATTTATCCTTTTTCCAAGTGGTCTGATTTCTGTACTTTTGCTATGCATCGCATGGACAAGCCAGACCGAACAAGTTAAAAAAAACATTGATACAGAATTTTGATATCTCATACTTTACATCCTATGACAAAACAAGACAGCTGCGCCTTTGGGGCATACATATATTTTTATTGCAGGGTGGTAAATTTATCTCGTGAAAGATGATGCCTCTTAAGCTTGCTGTCATACAAATAAATCAAGAGTAGTAACCTCAACTTGTACAGAATATATGCATAAAAATAGACATGTGCAGAGGGACAGAGGCAGAGTTTCTATATAATTGTCACAGTGGGAAGATATATGGATTTGTTTGCATTCTGTTGTTTTTTTTTTTCTTTCTCTTTTAACTAGATGTGAGAACTGCTAGGGTTTGACCAAAATTCTCAAAATGTGTTTCCTGATTTTAAGAATTGTCACTATCCAGCTTAAAGGAACACTCCAAGCACCGTATTCACTGCAGCCTGCTATAATGGTTATGGTGCCAGGAGTGCCCTCGATAAGTAGTCAAATCAATGAAGAAGGGTTTAACAACTGAGCTGGGTACTTCCAGAATAACTTATATTGAAAACTCCTCCCAACAATGTTCCTATAATTTAATAACTTAATCATGAACAAAATCCCATGTATGAACCGGTCCAAATTAATCTCCAACAAACAGGTATTGAGTGTAAAAAGCAGTTCTGGTCTGGGTGTGGAGCCTGACTGCCAAACGGAGCCGACGTGTGCCATAAGAGCTCCTGCATAAGCTACCGTGGGCACGGGGACATTCCCAACCCTAACGACTCTACAAGCACAGACTAGCATTAATCTTGCAGAGGAGGCTTCGGTGATTCAGGAGACACCTCCTTAATGGGTCCCCGCAACTGACTGCCCAAATTGTGGCCTTGAGGCCTACACACAAGGGAGCCTGGAAGAGGTGGCCGCTCTCCCGGCTCCCCTGCTGGCTTCTAAGCAACAGAATCGTGCATTCCCCCCCCCCCTTTGGACCGGCGGGGTTATCCCGTTACCTATTGGGTTGCTTCACGCAGTTTCTGGTACACAGGTGGAAGACCCGCAAGCTACAGAATACCTCAAGATGGCAGATGGGCCTACTACAGTGACCCAGGCATCCAAGGCCCCACTGGACCCCACTAGCTGCTCCCTGCTGGCACTAGATGCATTATTTGCCACCTTCTGGGCACGACTGGAGGAATGATCGGCAGCCTCTGCTGGTCTGCCTATGGAGACGGGCCACCTAAATGCACATGGGCCCCCTCCAAGTGAAGCTACCCGCTATGCGCGGGTCCCTCCCATCAAGCGACCCCCCAGAGTGAGGGCTACACAAGGGAAGAACCCACCTAATCACCCACGTTGGAGAAAGCCACTATAACTGCCTCAGGGACAGCCCACCTTCTCGCTCCGGTGCTGCATTCCGGTGAGGCACCCCAGGAGAGGCCACGCTGCTGGGAAGGTGTCCCGCCACCAGAGGGCTCCAACTCAGCAATGCCTGCGGCTAGTCCAGAGAGAGAGCAACACACGACCCCCCAGAGTGTGCAGCTGCCCCCCTACACAGCCCAGTAGACCGCTGATCCCCAGGGTCGACTGCATCCCAAAGGATGGAGGGACCCAAGACCAAGCCCAGCATGCAAGCCGAGGAACTCGGAGGTCCAGAGTGTTGGCCTGTCTTGCAGCCCAGGGCAGACGGAGTGCTGAAATGAGGGACTTGGTACATACTCACCAGGTGTCCATCATAGGCTACCTACTAACATTTATCACTATGTTATTGTTGCTTGCTTGTCATTATACTATAAAATATGCAATCCCTAGCTTGATAGAGCTGTTTTGGCATATGAAGCTTGACTGTTGACACTTGCACAATAAAAATAAAGAATTAAAAAAAAAAAAGCAGTTCTGGTCCAGCGTTCTGAGATGAATCAATAGCTATCGATATTCCATTCGTTTAAATGGTAATAGTTTGACACCGATAACTTTGCCCTCATAATTCTCTTCAGAAGGGACTCCAATAGTAATTTATAGCACGTGGAAGTGTAATCAGGGGATGGGTAAACCTTTCACACCTTTCGATTTCAAATGGAAGACAATATGTTGCACATAACAGTGGAACGTAGCCTCGTCCTTACTAAAAATATTATGATATAAATGATATTCGTTATATATTATGTTGCAGGGCAAAGCTATGCAAACCGAACTTAGCTCATAAAGTTCAACTTACATTCCACTTTGCTCTAGCACTGCCAATCAAACCACAAAGAAGAGTATTTCTCTACCAGGGTTCCATTGTCTGTCTCTCTGTGTATATGCAGAGAGCTTGTAAATAATAGTCCTCTCCAACCTTCAACACTACAATGTTTGTAATCAAACTTTAGGGTTCTATTCAGCAACCAGGGGAGAGGAGAATGAAGGTGGGAAAAACAGCTCTAAGGCACAAAGACATTACATGGATTTTTTGCAGGCGGTGAATGAAGCTCACTATGCCCTGCACAGTACAGATATTTGGTGTAACTGTATATTATATGTAGACAATATACCCACATACATAATTTATTTCAAAAAATGTTAGTTGATTGTTTTTGGAATCTATATTCTCAGAAATACCACCAGTTACTTTACGAATAGCAGAGAAAAATGTTTTTCTGTATTGTTACTTAGAGTCCAGAGTCTTTAAGCTATATTGCACTGTAAACGATACTGTATATTCATTACAACCTTTTAAGCTTCCAATATTTCTGTAAAGTGCTATTTGATCAATGAAAAATTATAATTGTGCAAGTTAACTCATATTTTTGTTGGTATCTCTGACCAGCAATCTAAACAAATAGCTATGTTATTTTACATATACTTTATAGGTATATGCCCTCGTCTCCCCTTGTATTAAATTGTCAAATTTTGCATTGTATCATAGTAATATTGTACTGTGTCATTTAACATGTGACATTATACCCATTTACAGCGCTGTGGAATGTGATAGCACTTTATAAATATAGTATAATAATAATAATAATAATAAGTATTTGCTCACCATGCATCTCAAGTTTCAAATAAATTGTATTCAAATTGTCTTCAAACTGAAAAGAACTTGCCAGTGAATGGGGTTACTGTTACTAAGCAGGTGGTATTTGAAACACATTGTGTAAAATATAATGTAATTGTAATATTAGGTATTATCTGTGTGTTTATATGATTAGAAAATGTTGCACTCTTTAAATTGCCGTGCATAACCGCCTAGATAATGCTAGTTTTTAAACAGTTTTTTTTTTAATCTTCTACAATGAGATTGACAAACTATTTGCATTTAAAGTATTTTTTTCTGTTAAAAACAATTATAAAAAATTTAAGAAACAATATTTGTATTAATTTTGAAAATAGACCACTTATTCACTCTAAATGTAGAAATCTAAAAGGTTCCTTCTGGAATACAGCGATATTACATCCATATACAATATAATAAAAAATACAATGTCCCACAAATCACTGCTACTGTAACATAATTGCTATAGCAACAGGAAAACATCTTTCATTATTTAAACTTCTTCAATTTATATTCAGGAATATGTGACAAGTAAAAGCCAGCAGAGAGTGCGAGAAAAAATAGGGATATCTTATTCTCATTTAAGACCATGATACTTTATTGGCAATAATTATTATCGTATTGGTGTTTGTTACCTATAATCTATTCATCAACAGACCTTTTTTTAATAATTTTTTTTTTTTATGAAGAATATGATTTTTGAAATGAGCTTTTTAAATCATTTTAGAATTTGTCACGTAAACAATCCGCTTAGGTTCAATGCACATCAACTACAATAATGCACATTTAGACAGTAGAAATGAAATAATAGATTCAAATGATTTTTATGAGCGTGAATGGTTCATGGCTGTGGTGAAAGTATTAAGCAGAGGTCAGAAATAAGCATTCAATTTAACACCAGGGAATCAAACCATGCGTTTGTGTTCAAATATTTTAAAAAAAAGAAAATTCCTTACTGTTATTATAATTATTATTATAGAAGATACTAAACCTTTCACAGCTCTCTAAAACTATATCAGACGGCAGAGCACTTTAGGACACCGTGTCACAGTGTGCAAGTAACGTATGTGTTTGATAGATCAGAGAATCCACAAATATACAAAATTATGTCTGGAATCAGACTCCCACTACACCTGAGGGGGCAACAATGACTATAGTACACGTCAGACCCAATATATACAATATAAACCAAAGACAAAAATTTACTTGCGCGCTATACCAAATCCCTCTGCACATTTAAATAACTGGAGGTTTTTAGTATTAGTACATATAATGGCTGATACTAAACATCTCCAGTTATTTAACTGTACATAGGGATTAGGGATAGTGTGCAAGTAACACGAGACAAGTAGGTGGTGAGCCAAAAGTCAAACCAATAGGTAAAGTAAATTGATTCAAACTTAAAGCGTTAAGGAATTCTGTATATTTTTAATATTTTAATAATTTCAATGTGTCACACAGGTATGTTTTCTTAAAGGGACATTCTAAAAAATGTTAAATTCTGGATAAATATTGCACCCCTTATAGTAAAAAAGCTCCCCCGAATGTCAAATGCTCACAAATATTTTGCCTCCGCACAGGCACCAAACAGAAAGCACATAAAATATGTTAAAAAAGCCACTTTCAGTCTCTCTGAACTCCCCAGTAGTGATGTTGCGAACCGTTTGCGAACTTGCCGCGAACGGTTCGCCGCGAACCGTTCGCGGCGAACTCCGGTCAGCTGACACATCCCTGCCAATCTCCGGCAGACCCTCCCTCCCAGACCCTCCCACCTCCTGGACAGCATCCATGTTGAAGCTGCCTTCAACATGGATGCTGTCCAGGAAGTAGGAGGGTCTGGGAGGGAGGGTCTGCCGGAGATTGGCAGGGATCGCGACTTCACTACTCCCCAGCAGTATTCAACATTGCTGGATATTCCAAGCATCAATAACTCTACAGCTGAATGAATTCCGCTTACAGCAAATTAAAGGGCCAGTTGGACACCATAACAATGATAAATAACTTGTTTTAGTCCCAGGAGGTCCATGGTGCTGACTCACCTTAAGTGGTTAAACTTGAAAAGAAACTTACCTTTTTCAAGCCAGTTTTATGAAAGGAGAGTCACTGATTGGATGAGAGTGTCAGTTGACCGCTCTCAGCCAATTAGAAGTTCTATTGCCTGATTCTGCAAGAGTCTTCCGGTTTCCCAATTTTGAGAATATGGAAGGAGAGAAAGGCAGGGAGATTTGGCTCTGGAATGCAGACTTTTCAAATCCCCTTAGGGTGACCCAGTGCCAAAAACCTCCATGCACAATAACAACTTAATTTTGATGAAGTTGTTATGGTGCCCGGAGTGTTCCTTTAAGTCTCTCTGGTTTTAGTCAAAGTGGTTTGGTAAAACAGGGTACTACGCTACACCCTAAGCTCACCCCACTGCAGGAGAAATCAATATGAGGATGTTCATATTTCTATGACTGAAATTACCATTCAACAAAATTGCCAAATCGATTCAGGCATCTTAACATAAGGGTTATATTTTTTTAATTATTGCATGATTCAAGGTATAGAGAGCACCCTGCACCCACATTCAGCTTTCAGAGTGGAATATAACAGCAGTGATTTGTAAAAGTCACTTTGGTTGTAAGACAGAGCTTTCAATCAGGTGGCCAATAGTGATGTCGCGAACCGTTCGCGAACTTCCCGCGAACGGCTCGCAGCGAAACTCCGGTCAGCTGACACATCCCGGCCAGTCTCCAGCAGACCCTCCCTCCCAGACCCTCCCACCTCCTGGACAGCATCCATGTTGAAGGCAGCTTCAACATGGATGCTGTCCAGGAGGTGGGAGGGTCTGGGAGGGAGGGTCTGCTGGAGGTTGGCCGGGATGTGTCAGCTGACCGGAGCTCGCCGCGAACTGCGGCGAGCCGTTCGCGGGAAGTTTGCAAACGGTTCGCGACATCTCTAGTGGCCAACATTCCATCTTCAGAATGTCTGCCCATACAGAGAGTTAAGCCATGGCTACATGCATGCTCGGATGGCAACACTTTCAATCTCCCCACACACTAAGTTCACAGATCTGTGAACTGGGATGTTTATAAACTGATAGCAGCTATGTGTTCATAAAGCAGTTACGTTCATCCTGTGTGATGAATGGAAATACTATTGGAGAATATCCAACTTTTTCCATAAATCCCTACTAGACAAGAGTCTATATGAAGAGATCAGAAACCATTGATCAGAATGAGAGGCTTTCAGCACTATGGACAGTGACATATCATTTGTACATTGTGCCAAATTAGTCCCAAATGTATAGTTTTAGTTTTACGTTCGATCATACGATTTTAAGGAACAATACATTTTGGGAGGGGTAACTACAACTTTATCACACTTGGACAATTCATTAAATAAATTAACACTCCCAGCGGGTGGAGCGGGGCTGCAGCAAAGAACTGTCTCGATGGATTTGTGGAAGGTTAACCGTTAATTTACTGGAAAGGGCCCTCGAGACTCTAGTATAAATAAATGTACTTATAACACTTTAATGTTACTTTAGCTTCTTTTATCAATCTTGCTGAGCTGATGATCCCCAGACTAAAGGGACATCCAAGCACCAACACAACGTTACGTTTTACAAGTAGTTGTAATTTCTATATGTCTAACTTTATACAGCCTTTGCAAACAATAGAGAAATGTTTTGCTGTATCCCAAATCTTAACTCTGCCTTGTACCTTCCCATTTTAAAATATTTCTTCCTTTTTGATTATACTACTTGCATAAATCTCCTGTACCCTCCTAGCCTGCAAAGTCCCATAAATCAATAGGTAGTATAGCCCCTAAGGAGAAAGCTGATAACCGAGTTACAATCCCTGGAACACCTGTTCTGAGCAGGACGGAGCCTGTCCCATTGAAATCTGTTTGTCAACGTTTACTGTACTGGGTTAAACATGCTTAGCAGCTCATACTCCATGGACCTATATCTGTAGTTCTTAATTGGCCAAGGTAAAGGTGTGTGGCTTTGCACACATGGAAGAAGCTTTAAAATTAAGAATGTAAATATTTTTGTTCTATTAGTTGATTTTGCATATGTTTACTGTATAACAATAGCATGCATTAAACAATACAATTCCAAACTGGAATTCCCCCCTAAAAAAAGACTGAACCAATAGATTCAACTAAATCCATGCAGCCATGTGGTCCACTTGACACTTAGTGGTAGATTGCATTTTGATTACCAGAAGAAGGCCATGCGATGAATCACGTCCTCTTTAATAACAAGTAACTGTATAGCATTTCATTTACATTTCCATATTTAATTGATATTACCCATATTATTAGTTTCAGACACTTCTAAACTTTATAACCTCTTTTTTTTTACATTGCCACAATAATTATACAATAGGACAAGGAACTGCATGACATTGACTCATTTCAAATAAAAAGCATTAGCTTATAACCCGTTAGCAAATTTTCCCACAAACGTTATGTATAGTACACATGGCACACAATGAACAGTTGTTTGAGTAGATAATTGTCTGCAATATGTATTTAGTATAGAGTCATTATTTGCATTTCACCAGATGACTTTGACTTAATATGTATAGTTGGTCTTATTGACTTTCTCAGTGTCTCTGCATTTGCCTTCCCATCTATAAAACGTCTTGCCACCGGTTTACAAACTAGATTGTGTCATTGCATCTCACTGAAGCCAGCTAAATGTATAATCCCAGGGCACTATATATCGACATGCAATTGTCTTAATGAGAAAACACAACATAAAACCAGAAAGTCACTGATACCTAAGGGGAATTTCTGGAGTTAAATCCCACAATCTGTCCTTCTAAATGTGATTGCAGAGAAAGGCAGCTTCCAAGGGCAATCATACAACTTCAACTGTTACTTAAAAGCAGACTAACTACTACCTGGGACCCTCTCAATATTTCACATCCACCATGAGAACACCAGACAAAGCCGCTTTTTCAACTTTTTAGCAGACACATAGGGAGACCAAGCTACAGCAATGCATTAAATAAGCTGAATTGAAGTATTTGCACTTTATTACAACATCCCCTCATGTACTAAGAAATATAAGGTATTGCATTCCAGCTAACATTATTAGAATGTACAATTATGAAACATCATAATAGGTTCTAACTTTAACTCAGCAATGATATTAATGGATCTATCTACAGACAGAGAGAGTGAGAGGGGACAGACAGACAGACAGATGATAGGACAGATCCTTAGAACTTTAAAGGTGACCCCAAATGCTACTAGTTCCCATTAAGCTGGGAAAGTGATGCAATGATACAATGTACATATTGTCAATAGTCAAACACTCAGCATTAGAAGATCTGTGGATATACTGCACAGTGTTTGTTATTGAAAGATTATCATTTTGTTATTGGACAAACCAACTTTATTTCTAGTTATTACTACATCAATATACCCTCAGTATACCCCTCAGCCTTCCCCATTGTGTGCAGACTATCCACTCTCAAGGCTATCTAACATAGAACACAAATACAGAGATTGCTAAAACTTGCACACAGCTCAGTGGGCACAGGCTGGGTATGTAATCCTGCAAATAACACAGTATTAGCAGAGCTGCCATGTATATTTTCACAGACATGCAGAGTGCAGAGCACAACACGCTCCCTGCTCACCTGGTGCTGATAGCCAGAGATGGCACAAGGAACAGCAAGTGGCAAGCACAGATGAATTTCATACTGCAGTTCCTCTGGTCTGTGCTGGTGAGTATTAATTCCTCCCACCGTCTCCTGTTCTGATATTGCAAAGAGGAAGAATAAAAGAAAAGAAAAAAAAAAGAAAGAAATACAAAAATATAAAGCCTTCCTCAAAGCAGGTTGCTCCACAGATCTGGACCAATGCAGACAGACCAACAGACTGGCTAATGGAATAAACTCTGAGCTGGATCTGAGCTCCAAGTGTGATGTCACAGGCAAGACTCTGCTGCTGCAAGGCTCCTGCCTGATAGTTGTGATTATTCAACACAGTGACTCTATTCATATCCTCAGGAGCTTGTTATAACCAGCAGTTTAAGTGTCAGCCAGGGAGAAAGGGGAGTGTACACTTTGCTGAAAAAAAGGGGATCATGTGTGCTGCAATGGAATATTTATCAAAAGCCAATCCCTGGTAAAGCAGCAATCTGGCTAATTGCAATACATTATATTGCTGAGTTCAGTTAGGGCAGAAAAGGGTTAATCTTCCAATGGAATAATCATGGATGGATAGTGTGAGCATCTTGTCCTCACTGTAAACATTGCAGGTTTGAGCCACATGCTCAGTGGGTTAGATGGAGAGTTTGTAACCAACGTTCTAGCACACAAAGCGTTAAGTTGTTCAGATCAATGGCTGTGTGATGGAAATGACTGAGATTGCAAGTTGTTTGGGATAGCAGTCAGCATGCTGTAAATACAATGAGTGTATAGATTGTGCTAAATGAAAGCCCCTGGTGAGCATAGACTTCAATGGTGAAAGGAAAACAGCAGAAAAATATCAGGAAATTAGACTGGCTTTTACAAAGCTTTCATTTGGCATCATTCTGCATCAGTCTTTTATTTAATGTTTTCATTCGCTCCCCTCTGAAGAGATTAATGATGAGCTCTGTGATAGCTGGTACTCTCAGGGTCTTTCTAGGATATGCTAGGACCTAGATATGGCTGGATAGGTAGGTATCGCTGGATAGGTAGGTATGGCTGGACAGGTAAGTATCCCTGGATAGGTAGGTATGGCTGCATAGATAGACTGGGCTGGATAGCTAGGTATGGCTGGATAGGTAGGTATCCCTGGATAGGTAGATATGGCTGGATAGGTAGATATGGCTGGATAGGTAGGTATCCCTGGATAGGTAGATATGGCTGGATAGGTAGATATGGAAGGACACG